AAAAAGAATCACACGAATATTACTGATTTTTTAAATTTGTAAAAAAATTTAAGGAACTACTGATTAATTTTTGAAAAAAAATCATTATAAGTATAAAAATTTTGCCAATAAATGCCACAAATAACATTAAACAGAGTTAAAATTTAGGATACAGTTTTTTTGTTTCCTCTTCTAATAGTAGCAAAATACCAGAAATAATTGAGTCAAAGTGTAAAGTTTAAACTCTCATAATTTCGAAGTTGTCATAAATAGAATTTTTTTAACATTTTTTCCATGTTCTTGGTATCCTACCTTTATTAATTAAATTATTTTATTTTTTTTATTTTTTTTCTAGGGCGCGAGTTCTGGCACACCCTGTATGTTTTGGATTTTTTTTTAATTTAACAAATATTTAATACGAATACAAAATTGTAGACAAAGTTAAAAAAATGATTTTCTTATTTTAGTGAAGATGATTAGACATTGTTCAGAAACAATAATAAATAATTCTTTTGTAAAACTTTGATCAATCAGTTCAAGAAAACGATTTGAAAAATCGATTTAAAAATTTACAGGGCTGTGAGGGGTACATTTAGCTGTAAAAGCACCTAAGATCATCAATATTAGTGAATATGCGATAGATTTACTAAAATAACGCAAAAATTACTCTTATCTCTTTTCTTTAAATCAATGTTAAGGATAAAGAAATTTTTTTTTAATTGTTAAAAGCTCTTGTGAGGCATTTACTCCAGTTTTGACACTACTCTTACATTCTCTGTGCGGTCATTGGTTGCTGAGATATCCATGACAAAAACAAAAGGATCCTTTTTCGTTAAAAGCGATTAATTGATGTAAAAAAAATGTAAAAAAGCATATTAAAGTTGAAAGAACAGGCTATCTGGCTCAAAATTTCCCAAATCCGTGGACCAAAAACAAAAACAAGAAATTTTACTTTTTTTTCGCGCTAACTGTAGCCCAGAAAAAAATTTGATCAAAAGACCTCAAAACTAGAAACTTAAAGCTTCAAATTGTTTTTTTTTTAAATTTAGATACGACTTCTTTCGATGACATACAGCCTTTCAAAAATCACCCAAAAATTTAGGAAATATTTTTGTTCCCTTAATTTTTTGAAGTAGTGTAGCTTGAGATAAACAAATTAAACTACATTTTTTATACATTTCACAGGTTCACAAGAAGGAAAGAGCAAAGGTCCCCCGAATCAAGACACTGAAACTCTCCGAAATAACCAAACCAATCGAGAAAGAAACAAAAGAGAAGCTTCTAATAGGCTCGATAAACCGACTTCTGACCGCCGACAAAACAGCCGCAAAATGCTTGTACCAAAAACTAATCACCACGATCGCAGCTTGCTTCAGCCCCACTGTGAGACAAACAGTGTTGGCGTTTCTTTTATCAGACTTGCGAACTCACATAGACCTAGCCCTGGCGTGGTTATTTGAAGAGTACGGAATTTTGCAAGGCTTTTCACGAGTGCCCCCTTTACGCAAAGACACCAAATTGGACAAAAGCTACAACATCTTGCTTTGTACATTTATAAACGCTTGTATGCACGACTCAGCCGTGCTTTGTCGATTGTTTTTAGAAGCGCCTTTAATAACAGACGAGGCTCTCGAAAAACTCCACCAGCTGTGCAGAGATGAGAAGAAATGTACAGCGGCTTTGGGGTTGTTACACGATTTGACAGTCCGGAAGCCCCCCAAACAATTAATGTTCCTCAATGCCCTCCTCTCGTACACAACATACGAGTCGAGTGTGATAAGAGAGTGTGCCATCGGCCACGTTTTGGAGTTGCACAAGAAGGTGGAATTGAGGTTGGTGATTGAGGAGTTTGCGAGAATGAATTTGGAGTTTTTGAAGTTGCAAAGGCCACCGGAGAGTTTGTGCGGGTTTAGTCAAGGAAGACTAAAGAGTGAGACTTGGGGGGATGATTTTATAAAAGCTTGTCTTATTCCTTATATTTCTTTATTGCCGGCCAATGAGAGTCTTATTCATGATTTGGCGAAGGTTTATGTACAGACAGGGGCCAACATTAAACGGATTATTTTACGTCTGCTTGAAACTCCAATCAGATCAATGGGGATGGATTCACCTGAACTTCTAAAACTCGTCGAAGAGTGTCCCAAAGGCTCGGAGACTTTGGTCACGCGGGTTATACACGTTTTGACAGATAAGGGCCCCCCGAGTGCACAGTTGGTGCAAAGAGTCAGGGAGTTGTATCATACGAGAGTGTCAGATGTCAGGTTTCTTATTCCAGTTTTAAATGGATTATCAAAGAAAGAAGTGATTTGATTCGAGCGAATTGAGAATTTGTACTTATTTGCGAAATTGTAGGTAATTGCAGCTTTGCCAAAACTAATCAAGTTAAATCCGGTCGTTGTGAGGGAAGTCTTTAATCGGCTTTTGGGCTTACATGGTGACAGTCCAATTACACCAACTGAACTTTTAGTCGCTTTGCACTTAATTGATTCGACGAAAGCCGACTTGAAAACTATTATTAAAGCCACATCAATGTGTCTTCAAGAAAAACAGGTCCGAATCAATTGTCTCACTAAAAAAAATTTCGCAAAGAACAAAATTTCAGGTTTTTACTCAAGAAGTATTAGCGGTGGTTTTACAACAGTTGATGGACCAAACTCCACTACCAACCCTTCTGATGAGGACTGTAATCCAAGCTTTGGGAAGTTATCCCCGCTTGTCAGGATTCGTGATGAATATTTTGCAACGACTGATCTTAAAACAGGTTCGATTTTAAAATAATAATAATTATAAATATTATTTTTGGTGAATTTTAAAGGTTTGGAAACAGAAAGTAGTGTGGGAGGGTTTTATCAAATGTTGTCAAAGAACAAAACCGCAAAGTTTTGCCGTTATGATGCAACTACCGCCGCCCCAGCTATCTGATGCTTTATCCATTTGCCCCGAATTGAGAGAACCTCTAAAGGAACATTTGCTGAATTTTTCTGAAGGACAAAGGTCCCACATTCCGCCCACAATTCAGGAAATCATTTTAGGGAGTTACACACAAGCGCCACCTACGATAGTCCCGCCGCCGGTGGTGACAACTCCCGAAGAAGTAAGTTCTAGTGAGTTTTAGCTCACTCTTAATTATTTATTTCAGCCGACTGCTGAGCCTCCGACATTGGCCAACGAGCCTTTACCCCCCGGAATGGAGTAAACATCAATTTAACTTTTATTGTCCTTATTTTAATCACAAACGAATAAAAACACTTTGTTTAAATTGTGCGTATTTTTATATTATATTATATTTGGAAAGTAATTGAAACTTTTGAAATTGCGGAACTTTTCGTTGAACTGGACTCAGATTTGACGCTTTTAACATCAGAAACGTCTTTTTCTTGATTACAATAGCTCGGCGTAGACCTTGACGATTCTGAACAGTTACACAAGGAGGCAAGTGTGCGTTTTTCGGGTAATTTGACGTCATATTCGAGCGTGTAACGTGTAATCAGCGGTGCCATTTCCTGATAACGGACAGACATTTCTAACAATCGCTGCATAGCACTGACATTCGCGTCTTTCAGTTGACGGATTTCCAAGTCTCTCTGGAAAATATATTTTAAAAAATGGATTATTTTGTGTATAAGTTTACGTCGTATTTTTCGCGTTCCGTTCGGCGAACCTTTTTTTGAGCGAGTTTTAAACAATGTTCAGCTCTTTTAAGTTTCTCTTCTTTGTCAGTGCATTCTTTTTCAGTTTTTAAGTATTCTTCTTCCAACTCGAAAAGTGCGTCTTTGGCTTGATCGCGTTTTATTTCAAGCTCTTTTAATACATTTTGTACTTCTGCAAATAACTAATGTATAAATTTTATTTAATAATAGAATTTTATTGTTACCTTCCAGCTCTTGTCGTTTTACCGCCATCTTTTTCCTATTCTCCCTCAAAATATCATTTATTAAGAGCATTTGGTTTTCCAACATTTTCATTTCACTCATTTCCCTCCCTGTAAACGCCATTTCTAATCATTTTTAACACAAGAAAATCATTACCATCATCTTCAACCGCTCCAAGACTTTGTTTAAACGCCACATTTGTTAAGTTCACAACCTTCAAAGTGTTTTCCATCGCAAGAATTTCTTTTTCTGCCTTTTTTATCTTCATATCAAGTGCATCACCTTCCTGTTGCAAAAAGTACTTTTCTTGTGCATTTTTAATCTTAAAATGAGTAACAGAAAGTGGCTGTCCGTCCTCATCTTTCCCCAAACTGGCCAAAATAATGTCATATTTTTTCTTAAACTGATCCAATTTTATCCTTCTTTCAGCTATATCGCATCTTAATCTTCCATTGTCTTCACTCAAGTTACGCCTTTTTGCAAGAAGGATATCTTTACTTGTTTCAATTTCCAACATGCGTTCTTGAGTGGCCTAGAAAAAATCTACAACAAACATTTAAACAATAAGAAACTTACTTGTTCCAAAGTTAATTTAAATTTTTTCATAGTATAGATGCTGTTTTCTTCTTTTTTCATTGCTTTGTTTAATTGGTTGACACGTAGACGTAGGATGTTTTCCTCAACTTGCTTTTCTTGTATACTGTTTTTTAAAACTTGTAATTGTTTTTGCCCTCCTTCGAAATTCAAGTGTTGGTGTTGCAGCTTGTCTTTTAAGACGCTTAGTTGATTTTGATCAGCGACGATTGCTGTGGTCAGTCTTCGCATATCGTCTCTGATTTTGTTCACTTGATCTTTCAACAAATTTTTGATCTGAAACACACATTGTAGTGTATTGGTAAAAATATCAAGCACGTACTTCAGCATGTTCTGCAATTTTGCTTTCCAACTCGACAAGTTTTCCTTCGAGTTCTTCCGTATCATCACTGTGAAGCACATTTTCGTTTATCAGAATTTTACTTTGAACCTCATCAATTCTATAATCCTGCAACAAACAATTCGAAAAATTGTAATACAATTTCCACAATATTACCAAATCGTACGCATCCTCCTTTCGCTTCCCTAACGCCTTCTTTTGATCGTCATTATGTTTTCGCAAGTGATTAATATTTGTGGTCATCCCATAAATCTCAAGATCTCGCATTTTTCCAGTACTCTGCTGTTCTTGCAAGTCGTGTTGGGTCCGAAAATACGTATTTTGAAGCGACTCGGCTTCAAGTTGCAACGTTTTCTGTTGCTTTTGTTCATAATCAATCAACTTCTCCAAATGTTTCATGCGTTCATCGGCTGACATAGTCGACTTTTTCACTTGCTCATTCTTGGCCTTTAAAACGTCTAACTTGGCTCGGAAAATTGAATTTTTGTGTTCCATCTTTTCGATTTCTTCCTTTGCGTGTTTTTTCAGTACACGTTCTTTTTCCAGCTGATTAGCTGCAAGAATCATGGTTCTTCTCAAAGTATCAGCCTGGAATTTAAAATAAGACACATTCCCACGATACGAATTTTCTTTACTTGACTGTTGAGAAAAAACAAATTTTGGGACATTTCATTCAACTCTCGACGGATTCTCGAGTTTAAGAGATTCAACTGTTGGGCTTCGTGCTCCAATTCGTTGTTATTTCGCACTTCGTTTTCGTAAAACTGTTTCTGCTCATCCAGTTTTTCCTCTTCTTTCTCGATTATTTCCTGGGTTTCCAACATTTGGGCCTGGAGGCGGTCAATGTCGTTGTCGCGTTGGTGCAGAATATTCACCGACTCTTTCCATTGTTGGATGAGGGCATTTCGCTCGACAACTTGTTGTTTCATGATTTTTCCTACAAAAAATGTGTTATTTGGGAGAAAAATTAAGACATTGTTACCTGTGCGCTCTAATACGCGTTCGTAATTAATCAAATCGGAGACCATTTTATCGATTGTTTGTTTTCTGTTGGCAAATTCGACTTCCAAATTTTGGCGTCTGGCTTCCAATTCGTTGTACTTTCGGTCGTCTTGTTTCGAGAATTTTTTTATCAATTCATTGTCGTCGTCTCGCTTTTTTAACGACTCTTCCCAAGCTTTCAGAGCCTCACTATCCCAATCCGTTTCCGATTTTAGTTTGTCCAATTTCTTTACATATCTCTCTAATTGGTTTTTCTTGATTGAATGCCGTTCTTGGATATCGGCGAATTTTTTCTCGCAGAGTTTTATATCCTGCTCGAATTTATCCTTTTCGGCGGTGCTTAATCGGAGTTTACTCTCCTCAGTTTGCAGTTGTTGGGCATGTGCAGTGATCAAATTCTAAATTTTTTCTCTATAATTTCTGCTTAAATTACAATGATTTTGTACCTGATTTTGCTCGCTTTCTTGCTTAACATATTTGAGGTGATTTTCGATGTTTTCAAGTTTGACAGTCGATGTTTCAAACGCTGTTTTCTCTTTGATTTTTTGAAGCGTGAGTCTGGCAACCTCCGCTTCGAGTTGTTGGTTTTCCGCATTGGCGACTGGTATTTGAAAGCCATCTTCCCACCCTAGAGTTTTCAAAATTTCATCTAAATAGTTTGACATTGTTACAAAATGAAGTTTGTTTGGGTGTAGTCCGTGGCAACCGCCCCTCTTGTTCTAAATTTAGCTTGCTCATGTGCCAAGAACTGGTGGAATAATTTCAAATTTAAAAATAGAACTTAAGAATTTGTAAATTTGGGTGAGCACGCAGTGCTTAGCTTTAGTGCAAGTTTTGCGAATAAAAAATGGAGATTAAACTTTTATCGTGTCCCTTGTGTCTCAAGCCGCATTTCCAGGGGGTTGAGTCTTTGCGTTCTTCTCTAATAAGTGTAGCAACTTCTCATCTCACTTGCCCCGTTTGCAATGAATCTCTCTTAGGACTAGACAAATTGACCATACATTTGTTTACTCACATCAGTGATATTGGCAGTAAAAATGAAGAAAATGTGATAGAGAAAAGCGAAAAAGAAATTGACGAAAGTATTAATAGCTTGAACAAGTCATTGGTAGAGAGCGACAGTGAGCGCATTAAATGCGATATTTGCAACTTCACTTTTACAGACAAAACGATCTTAGATATGCACCAGAAGCTTTTACACCAAACCACACCTGATAAAAACACAGGTCTTTACAGTTATCACTGCCATTTGTGCAGTAAGAAGTTTAAGAAAAGGGGAAGTCTTATGGTGCATCTCAGAGTTGCACATTACGGATTTGGACACCAAAGTCCCCAAGATATGACCATGGATGTTAGCACATCCACCAAAACCACCGAACAAATCAAGATTCAAGACAACAAACAATGGGAATGCGATGTTTGTTCGAAAATGTTCACAACGAAATATTTTTTAAAAAAGCACAAACGGCTTCACACTGGTAAAGATTAACAAGTGTTGTGTCAAAACTATCGGTTGGTTGTAGGAGAAATGCCTTATTTTTGCGCCCAATGTAACAAATATTTCACTTTCCAACAGTCGTATCACAAACACATGCTGTATCACTCGTCGGAAAAGCCCTACGTTTGTAACGAATGCGGCCGAGCTTTTAAGGAACTTTCCACTCTCCAGAACCATGCCAGGATTCACTCAGGAGAAAGACCTTTTGGTTGCGAAACTTGTGGTAAATTAAAAACAACAGTTTAATTCCATTTTTGAAAAAAAATTCCAGGCAAACGGTTCAGACAGCGCGTTTCTTATTTAGTTCATCAGAGAATCCACACCGGAGTAATGCCTTACAAATGCACAGCTTGCGATAAAAGCTTCCGATATAAAGTGAGTCAAAGGTCCCACAAATGCCCCGCGAATCCTCCAGGATCGGTTGTAAAAATCCCGGAACCGGAAAAAAATCAAAAAATTGAAACGGCCACTTCTAGTAGCGCCCAAAAAGAATCGAACGTGAAGTGTATAATGTCGGTTGATTACAACACTGGAAATATAAATTTTATTCAAGACAACCACAACAGTGAAATTAAAGTGATGTACTTGGAACCGCAAAAATCAGAAAAGACCGATTTGTGCACAAGGGTTGAAAGTAAAATTTGCAATTTTGTTATTTGGGTTTCACTGAAGTGTACTTACAGGTTCACCACCAGTTTTTGTAACAGAACAACCGGATTTATTTTCAATGGTTTTATCGCCGATTTTGCCGGATGTTGAATCGCTATGTTTGACTAATACTCAGAAAATTGAAAATAAAAATTGCGAAAACCTTGAGGAATCTTTAAACGAATTGTTATATGGAGCAGATAATAAATAAGTGTTGTGTATGATTTTTGTAACTTGAATATAATTAAAGTTAAGATTTGTCACTAGTTTTGTATAATTTACCATTTTTTTTTCTCACATTTAAATTAATAAAGTGATGCAAGACGAGCTTTAAATGTTTTGTCTTATAAATTTCAGAATTTGGTAAATTAAAATCGTGAAGTTGAATAAATTAAATTGTCTTATTATTAAAACTTTGTGAAAATATAAACCAATCATTAATTATCTTTAATCGAATTAATACACTTTTTCATGCTACATCATGGTAATACTATACAGGCTGTCCAGAAAAAACGTTGAAACAAAATGGGTCAAAATGAGAAAAAAACTTCTATAGACCTATGTTCGGAAATTTCTTTTGAGGGAGCTAGAACTCCCTGAAGATGGCGGGCAAAAGTCTTTTTTTCAATTATCTCAGTAATCGCTAACAGGTGGACATAAATTTACAAAAGTGAGCATTTAGAGTAATTTTTTGCCGCTGAATCTATTTGTGTCATATCAAAAATTGTATACCTTAATTAGGGAAGCAGAGTCACTGAAGTAAAATTTTGCTTTGAAAGAAGTTTTTTGAATTTTTTTGACAGATTGGGATTTATAAATAAAAGTTTGGTGTGACGGGTCAAATTGTGTTTTTGTTCATCGTTTCTATACCAAGAGGATTCAATAAGAAATGGGATGTATTGGCAAGTTTTCTTCGAAAAAATGCCTCTTGTGTTATTTTTGTACATCGAAAATGTTCACAACGAAATATTTCGAAAAAAACAAGGTATTAAATCGTGCACAAAATTTAATTCCTAAATGCAATCAACGCACTGAGAAGCATTCCGGTCATAAGTTTTTTTTATTATTTTAACCTAGGGAATTACTCCCTGAAATCTTTCAATGTTTTTACCGGACACCTGTATATTAATATCTAATAAAAAAATTAAATAAAAACACTATTAACCTGATATGACAATACCTACTACACCTTTTTTAAGTGTAATTCAGATTTGTCAATTGTTTTTAAGAGAGTGTTAATTGTAATTAATTTTAAAACAGTAAAATGAATTTCAGAAACTATCAGATATATTTCAGATTAGTTAAATTAATTTCAGAAAGCGTAAATTGGAATTCAGAGTTTGTCATTTGTAATTGAGAATTTGTCAAATGTAATTTAGAATTCGTTATTTTCATTTAAAAATTACACTATCAAAATCGCTTTAAAAATAGAATATCTTATTTATTTTGTAAAATATCAAGATTATGTAAATCTTTAGTTTTGAAAATAAAATAATTCGTGTTTATGTGTAAACTTTATTTTGAGATAACAGTAAGTTACTCATCTGAATTGCAATTGATATTTTCTGGACTACATGTAACATGAAATTGAATTTACTGTTCTGAATGAATAGGTAATGGTTTCTGAATTACAATTAATACTTTCTGAAATACAATTAATTAATCTGAATTCCAATTTATGCTTTCTCACATTAAATTAACTAATCTGAATTACATCTCATAGTTTCTGAAACTCATTTTACTCTTCTGAATTACAGTTAACACTTTCTGAAAGACAATTGACTAATCTAAATTACAATTTACGCTTTCTGAAACTAAATTAATGAATTATACTCGTATGTGATGGTTTCTGAATTACACTTGAAAAAGGTGTAGAACAAATGTTAACATTTTATTAGCATCTAAAAATAATGTATACAGGATTCATAGACCCAGACATGGCTCGGGTGGTTGTTAGAACCATTTAATTACTCTCAAAATTTCAAAACAATTTTTTTTGTAAGTTTTTAGCTCTTTAAAGACGCAACTTTTATATAGGGTGATTAAAAAGTGTCAAACCAACTCTCGAATGGTGATAGAACATTTTCAGCTAAGCATAAAAATGAATGCAGATTTTTTCTAAGATTTTTTTTCTGAGAAATAACAGAACTGACAATTTTCATATTATCGTGTAGACAGACACCTTAGCTTTGTTTCCGTTGTTGTCGGATTTAATTTATTGTTGAATTTGCCAGTTTTTTTAACAGTTTTCTGTTAATGTTGCAAGATCTGCCGTTTTGGTTAATTAAATTCAAGAATACATGTTCTAAACGACCAAAAACTTAACCCAAAAATCTAACCTTTGAAGAGCTATATTTCGTGAAACAAGACTCAAACAATTTTTTTGTCATGCGAACTTTTAACTCAATTGGATGTTCCAAGAGATGGTCAGACTTTCGAATCACCCAGTATTAATTTTTTGTTTATTAAGAAAAGTGTTTTTGTATTTTTTTGTAAGAGACGTTCAAGTATGCATTAATTTTTTTTTTAAACTCAAGTCAGTCACACTAAAAATTTGTTCACCTACGTATATAAGGTAAAACATCACGATATTTTTTGGTATTATATACAAAAACTCATAAAGTTTAATTAAAATTCTATATTTACACTTATCCTCGCACTTATCTAGGAATACATTTCATAAATATTATTGGTTTTTTGAACGTATGCAAAACAAACATTTTTATAATTTCTGTATCGAGGAGTCAATATTTTGTCTCCTGAAAAATTTTGATTTGTGTTGAACTGAAACAAATCTATGAAAAAGCCTTTCTCACGTAACATTTTCTCGGTAATATCTTTATTATTAATGTTCTACAGAAAACTATATAAGATTTGAAGAAAATTTTGCAAAATATTTTTTTAATAATATTTCTTCATTTCACTGAACTAAACAGTTAAAGAAACAGATGTAGGTAATTAATAATTAATTAATTTCTGGATTAATTTAATATTCAGATTTTCTCAGTTCTATTTCTAAATAAAAAATTGGTAACGGTCTTTGTAATGCTTTTTTAATGGTTGATGGAATTATGTTAGGTATGTATTCTAAAATTTTAATTAAGTTATTGACTCTCATATATATATGGGCATCACGCTACCAAGTCTAAAATTCAATGACCCTAGTTATGGTAGAAAATTGAAGAATGATTCACGAATATCCGGAGAGACGCTTACCACACCCTAAATCGACCACACAAAAACTCCACAAAAATATTAATTCACCTTTATGTTATCACGCAAATAACTAAGAAATAAAAAAGAGGTCAACAAAATTTGGTATTTATTGATAAAAACTGATAATGTAATAAAATAATAATGCACACGACCTGAGATTTCATTACACGAATGAAATCTTACAAAAAGATATTTCAGACTCAAACTTATGTGATGAAGTAAAATACAGTAGATACGTATTTTGAATAATATCAGAAACAGAAGTCTTTGGTTACAACAAAACACAATTAACTTGTCTTGTTTTAATTTTGGTTTTCTTGTACACCCGTAGCGCCTCTTCAAAGACTTCTTTCAATCCCTCTCTGGTTTTAGCAGAACATTCGACGTATGCTTCAGCTTTGACTTTTCTTCTTAATTTCTTCCCGTCTAGGGTTGAGTAACAATGGTAACTTGGATCATTTCGGAGATCTATTTTCGTCGCTAAAACATTCATTTGAACTCTTTTACCAAAACGAGGAGTCTTCAGCCCTACCTACTAGAACTATAGGCGCATGTGGATTATGATGCCTGACTTCTGGCACCCATTTTATTAAAACATTATCGAAAGACGATGACGAACTGTCGACGGAGAAACAAACAAGAAAACATTTCGTCTAAAATTAAAAAAATATTTTTTGTCAAGGAATCTAATTTATTTTACATTGGGGTAAGCCAGGGGGCGCAGTCTTTCATAGTCTTCTTGGCCAGCGGTGTCCCAGAGAGTCATATTGTATTTGACATTGTCAACGATGATGTCTTGGCCGTAATGTTCGAATCTTAAAATAAACAGTTTTGTTAGAGAACTCTCACTTATCAAAATTCCCTATTTACACACCAAGTGATAAGTTTAATTTTTTTTAAATGTACTCACACTGTGGGAACATATTCCTCCGGGAATTCGTCTTTCGTGTAAGAAATTAAAAGACAGGTTTTTCCCACTACACCGTCTCCAACCACTGTAATTTTAACGTTTTCACCCGGAGGCCCGTTTTCTTCGTTCGGAGATGTCGTCATGACTAGAAAAAGTGAATTAATACGAAAATTGTTTGTTTATAAAACTGAAGTTAAAGTGATCGTGCAGTCACAAAGTATGAAACTTTTATCAAATTTATATCAACACCGTGTGACGTAGAGAAGGGCGTTTCTACGCTTTTTGTCCACACTTGGCACACGCATTGCTGCAGCTCTCCTAACGAAAGTCCTGTGAGGATAATCACAATTTGGCTAACTGTGGGTTCCAATCACAGGATTGTGCCTTTTGGAATAATTTATTTGGACCTTTCGCTTTAGAGAGCATGGAATTAATCACTTACCTAAATTCGAAAAATCTTTCCAATCACGTTAACCACTCATTTCTCCAAAAATGGGGTATTTTGACGGTAATATTAAGTCCCACTAAATAATAGCACAAATCATACAGTTCATTATCGCTTAGGAAATTGTTATCTCGTATTATCAAGAGACGCGCTTCACTTGTAAATTTATTGTTAGTTTATCAACCTTTCTCTCTGGCGGATTGCTGGTAGCAAGATGAGCGAGTTTTTCATAAATTTATGTGACCTGTTTCCGTTAATAAAGCTCGTTTCTGTTATTTTGATAATTTGTTAATTGGAGTCATTTTCACACTGCACTATCACCATTCATGATTCATTTCGTTCATTCCTACACTACGTTTGCTGAATTAAATAAGCAAAGGCGAGTTTAGGTTGGTATGTGTCGCTAATTATTATTATTCAGAGAAAATATCTACATCAATAAGGCGAAACTATTGTTTATCGATACATTCTTTAAACGTTACGTCTAGGTTTTTGATCATTTGAATTTATTTAATTCAGCAAGGACAGGAAAAACGTCATTTCTTACACTGACATAGAAGAAAATTAACATTTGACTTGTTCGAGAAGAAAAACATATAAAATGTTAGAAAATTCAGCATAACTCACCGGATGTGTAATAATGACTACACATTTTAAACAACGCATTCAAGTTTTGTTATGTTGTTGTAATCTTATGTTTAACAGTTTGGATTATTGCATTCTTTTTAAAATATTTTGTTTACGGAGAATTGTTTATTAACACTCAACCTTATGCATAAAAGTAATAAAATTGTGCATAAAAAAGCCTTTCACTTTTGTTTTAATTTAAATTTTAGTTAAGTATATTTTGAAAAAATATGTAAGTTTCTATGAGATATTATACCAGAAATAATAATTTTTTATTATACCTGCATTATAATCCTAAATTAAAACACGCTGCAGCGTGCATAATTTGGCCTTTATAGCACGATGAAATTTCAAAGTTGTCGAGGTAACAAGAAATAGTGAAATGTCTGGACCAATTACAACGTGAAAAAATGTGCTTAACAACGTAAACTAGTAATCGTCTCTACGAAAACGATTCACAAACAACCTTTGATAATTTTATTGTGTAAATTCACATTTTTTCAATGCTCATAAAAAATCGTAAATGGGCAGGTATAATAAAAAATATCGTATAACACTCGTTTATAAGCGCCTTTAAAACAGTTCCGACGTTAAACCCGTCGTGCGTGTTTTAAAGGCTTGCTTATAAACTAGTATTATAATATACTATTGTACTCACTTCAAATCTTAATAGTGCAGTCACTAAAATGCAATATTGCAATAATAAACAGTGTGTCCCCGGACAGGTGAAACGCCTCTTGTACCAGATAAAAAATTCTCGTTTAATTTTTTTATTTTTTGGGGTGTTTAGCCTTGCTTGTTATAAGATTAAAATTATGTTAAAAATCAGCCTCTGTAACAAGCAGGGCTAAACCCCAAAAAAACGAAAACTAATATCAAAAATTTTTCATCTTTTACAAGAATTTGTTTTACCTATCCGGAGACACATTGTATAATTGTTTATTTATTGAAAAGTTAGGGGAAACAGAAAACATTTTTTAATTATGGCATTTATAAATTTAAAACTTACTAAAATACGTGTTTATCCGAAGCGAAGTACTTTTATTTATAAAGTGTATATAGGTAAGTATTAAAACCAATAAATATCTGTTTAAATAAAAATATTTGTTGATAAACTTCGCTCAAATCAAATACATTCGATATAGTGTACACGTAAAACATCGATTTTGTAATGTATTTCAAACAAGATTATTCTAAAAGTGACGTACGGTTCTAAGTTCTAAGCACTAAATCACAATAACGTAAAAAGTGACACTTTTATTAAGCACTAGTATGCAAAAGTATCTGATTTTGCCAAATACCAATCAAGGAGTTACCTTGTTAACAAAAAAAATCATTTGCGATGACAACTGCTCCCTCGAGGACACCTATACATACAGTTTAGAAAAAATATTATGCTTTACTCAGTTTTTTTTTATTTCATACCTAGGCGTAAAATAAATTATTAGTCGCTTTTTAAATTTTTGAAACGAAAACATACGTACTGCAGCTTTGATACAAATTTAAAAGCTTAAATTTATTAGATTTTCAAAATCAGTTATTGCTTTCAAGTAATAAATATTTTCTGCTTTTCGTTGTATTTTTGTATTAAATTATTTACAGGATACTGTAAATGTAAAAACATTTTTATCATTGTTGGCAAACCTGTGTTTTTTTAATCATTTTTTATCTAGTCTCCTACGACTTTATGACAAGTTTGAAATTTTAAATGTCACAGCAATTACGCTAAAAATTATTTTAACATTAAAAGTGACAAGTAACAATTCCAAAAATGTTAGAATTAAGCGAATTCGATTACGAGACTGTTCTCAAGAGTTATTCAATCCAGGTAAACAAATATTTTAATAATAATAAAATTGCACTCTCTTGTTAATAAATTACTCAAAATCACCCAAGTTTACCCTATTTTATTAACATATGGGATGAATAATGTAATCAAAATGACCACAATTGCTTCATGTCATCGAACTGGTCAACAACAAATGTAAACATCCTTATAAATGTATTAGCTTGGTGTATAAAATTTAGCTTTGTTTGTTCCGACAATAATAAAGACTTTTTTTTCTATTTCACCCATTCTAGGATATTGCTCTGGAACAGTCGTGCAAACAACGACTGGAAGATCAAAAAACGTACGAAGAAACTTTGAAAATTTTTAAAGAAGCAAAAGCAGAGTTTTTAAAAACTGCCGACGAGCATCAAACAATTCATGCAAATTTTACTGAAAAACTCAATATAAAAAATTCAATTGACCAATTACAAGTAGTTCCAAACTGTACAGTTAACTCTATCCACAACGAAATATTGGTCGTGTATGAAGACATGGCAAAGGATTCGTAAGTTTCTTCACTCCATTTATAATTTTTCAATTTTTGTTATTTTTTTAGGGACGAGTTTGTGAATTTGGTCAATAATTACTTGACAAAGTTTCAAAATTTGGGCAGCGAATTTGTAAGTTTTAAATTAAGATTACAGTAGCTGCATTTATTTTTCAGGAGGAGTCAGTCATATTAGAGAATAAAACCGATTGTGTTAAAAAAATCGAAATTCTGGAGCACGAAATTACAGATCAAAAACTGAAACACGATGAAATTAAACAACGACAAGAAGACTTTGAAAAACTTACACTTGTTGAATATTCAAAAAAACCATTCGAGTTTTATGTGAATAATTATGACACGCTTAAAATGAAAGCAGATATTTTTGAGAAGGAACAGTATCTAATACATCTCAATAAAAATATCAATTTTTTGGAACAAAGAAACCACGAATTTAAAGTTCAGTGTGAAGCTTTTTATTAATTAGAGAAATTGTTTGTTGTCTTGAGTACTAAGTTACTAACCTTGAATTGTTTTATATTTAAATGAGAATAAAAAAATGTTTTTGATTGGTACATAAATAAAGGCTTATCACATCACAAAATTAGAATATTATCTGCCGATAGTATTTGCGGCTTAAGTCGGACGATAATTGAACTGTGCCCCTCCTTGAGTTGTTTTACACTTTTCTAACATCGCAAAAATTAAAAATCATTGTTGCAAAAAAATGTAGAGCGCTGGAACTGCGCAAAAGTCTCTAAAACATAACCTGTACACTTCTAAAGCAATTTTAGTCTGTTGAGTTTTGAATTGACCTCTGAAAGTACTGATAAAGTATATCAGATATTTATTTGTTAAAAAAATAAGTGTATTTTTGTGGTTTTAGTACTGGTTTTCGATTGACAAACATTTTTGTTATTCTGGCAACTGCTACGTGACGAGCAAGTTGTAAGTCATGGCTGGTAAGTAATTATTAAAATAATTGTTGTAAATTACTGTAATTATCCACCTGGGCTTAAAGAAATCATAATTATCCGAAATTAAGCGCGAATTTGGATATTTATACTTGTAAAAAGTCAGTACTCTCCTAACCTATAACTGTTTCAGCCAACCCCTTTGACAAATATTTGAAAATTTTAACAGTAGGGTCAAAGGAGTACAAGTATTACGATTTATCGGCATTGGGGGCTCAATATGGTAAGCTTTCATGATTTTACAATGAAAATATTTACAGTGAAAATATTTTAGACCGGTTGCCATATTCTATTAGAGTTCTATTGGAGTCTGCAGTCCGAAACTGTGACAATTTCCAAGTTAAAGAAAAAGATGTTCAAAGTATCTTAAATTGGAAACAAAACCAGTCAGTGGAGGGCGGAATTGAAATACCATTCAAACCTGCAAGGGTCATTTTGCAGGTACAATTTCTCACAATTAATTAATTTGTTAATCAATTTTACGGTAGGATTTTACGGGGGTTCCTGCAGTTGTCGACTTTGCCGCAATGAGGGATGCAGTGAAAGATTTAGGCGGAAATCCGGAAAAAATTAATCCAAGTTGTCCCGCAGACCTTGTCATTGATCACTCTGTCCAGGTTGATTTTGCTAGATCGTGAGTTTATCATATTTTATCACAAATTTATAAAAATTTGGCTTACAGACCAAACGCGTTAAAGAAGAATGAAGATTTGGAATTTGAGAGAAACCAGGAAAGATTCACATTTTTGAAAGTATGTTTTTTTTAAATGTGAGGCGTAATTTTAAAACTGATTTCAGTGGGGGACTAAAGCGTTCAATAACATGTTGATTGTACCTCCAGGGAGCGGAATTGTGCATCAAGTGAACTTGGAGTATTTGGCACGGGTTGTTTTTACCGGCAAAGACAGGCCTATTTTGTACCCAGACACAGTGGTATGCATTTTCTTGTCCAATTAAAGTTATTGCTTTTGCTTTTACTACATTAACAGCAGTTCCTACTTAGTTTTATTTGTGTTTATAAATAAAAATGTTATTTCAAGTAAATAAATTATTTTAGGTGGGAACTGACTCACACACAACTATGATTAACGGATTGGGTGTCCTTGGATGGGGCGTTGGTGGTATTGAAGCAGAAGCTGTTATGTTAGGTCAATCCATCAGCATGTTACTACCACAAGTCGTCGGTTACAGATTACACGGTACTTTAGGACAATATGTGACCTCAACTGATTTAGTTCTTACGATAACGAAAGTAAAGATTGCCAATGTTTGTTTATATTTTGGCCAATGAACATTTTTAGAATTTGAGACAATTGGGAGTTGTTGGAAAGTTCGTCGAGTTTTACGGGCCTGGTGTGGCAGCATTGTCGATCGCAGATCGTGCCACAATCGCAAATATGTGTCCTGAATATGGGGCAACTGTTGGATTTTTCCCTGTTGATGAGCATTCTCTGGCGTACTTGAGACAAACTAGTAATGATTCTAATTAAAGTAGTAATAAATTTTGATTTTATTGATATTTAGGTCGTCCCGATGAACAAATTAAATTGATTGAAGCGTATTTGAAAGCTACTAAACAATTAAGAAATTATGCGAATGAAATGGAAGAGCCGATTTTCACCCAGAGTGTCAGTCTGGATTTGTCCACTGTTGTCTCATCTGTTAGTGGACCGAAACGACCCAATGACAGAGTTTCTGTTTCGGATATGAAAAATGATTTCAGATTGTGTTTAAGCAATAAGGTATAGTATTATATTTTATTTTGGTAGATTGGAAACCGCTACGCATGCGTCGTTGAGTTTTGAAATGAGTAATAAATGATGCTGTTTTTTGTCTGTTAAATGTTGGTAAACATGAGATGATTTCTACCCGGTGATTGTAAAAAATCGCAACCACCGTAATAAAATCACCGAATGTTCAACTTTTTTGATCTTTTGATGATGGGGCACAAAACATCGAGACAAACTCAACCCAGTGATATCTAATTAATATTAACTGGATCGAGTTGGTCGAGATGTGATGTGGAAAATTGTTCCTGGTGTGGCGAAATTGTGATTGGTGATAAAACTATTGGACAAACTCTACCCAGTGATATTTTTATAATACATCAACTGAGTATGGTTTATCCGAAAGTAATACCGGACTTTTTTTGAAGTTTTTTAGTGATATTTGTCCACGTTACTGACAGCTTTATGATTCAATTATCACGTAAAGCCGTCGTAACATTGGAAAAATAAAACTACAATTGCGAAAATAAATTTAAATTGATCCTACCTTTAAGCACTGAGTTCACTTTACTTTTTCAAATCATGGATGATACTGAAGAAAAATTACGGGTTGAAGTAATTTTTATATGAGAGGAAGGGTAGATCCCCACCCTCCATTTCTATGGGGTGAGTGGGGAAGTGCCTTTTGGAACGTCACTTTCTCTTTGTGGTTAGAATATTTTTTGATATATTAAACGGAAATAATTTTGATATATTTTAATAGCAAATTTAATGTTTTTTTCGGTCAAGTACCACGGTAATTATTAAAACAAAAAAACTTTTTACACCTTTATGGGGAAAATTTTTGGATAACTGTTAATAAAAGTGTTTCTGTTTCTTAGAAGTAAAATTTATTGACTTCTAATTCTTTTTTAGAAAGTTTTCCTAGCCTTTGATTTTGTTTAATTGTAGTGGATAATTGAATATACTTGGAAAAATACGTAGTATAATTCTAAATTAGATTTAAAAAAATATTTTGTTGTTATCTATCATCAAATTCGTATGAAACAGAAGAGTTTAACTGATTTTTTTCAATTAGACTTTAAAGAAAAATGTTAAAAATTTTCGTTTCTCAACATTGAACCTTGTTAACAAATGGCAATTTCTTTTCGTCTATACACCTTTTAATCTTGTTTTGTTCTTAAAAGCAATAACGATTGATATTGATTTAATTTTAATAGTTTAATAACATTAAATTAAAAACTTGTTATTTTTTCAAATGGTGTTCTCTGTACTGGCTTCAAAAACATTGTGTCATTGCACAATCGTATTAATTGTTTGAAATTGCAAGGTAGATTTTATAAATTATCTTTCTACGTTTTTGTACTTTTTTAAATAATTATAAGTATAGTTAATAAAAATATGAAATAGAAACCAATTGTTGACATTAAATAACGGGATTCTATTTTTTATTTTATTTTGTTGATTTGTAGTTGATTTGATAGTTTTTTTTACTGTTAAACTTCTTTTATTATTAATTTTACATTGAATTAAATCGCGATAATAAATTAATGTACTGATTGTGATTACACAGGTCTGGAATTTTAAATTTCGTAATGTCTTATTATTTACGAATTTTTGGGTACTAATCAAAAAACGACGATTTTTCTTTGTTACGTAACAATTTTTCGCTAAGAAAAATTAAAGTAAATAATGGAAAATATGGTAAATCTATGTAATTAAATCATAGTCAGTATTCGTGTTTTTTTTTCAAAATCTGTTTTTATTTTTGGTATAAGCTGAAAAAATACTTGGAGGTGCTTCTGTTTTCTGACTTTACATTGGATATAGTTAATAAAAATATGAAATAGAAGCCAATTTTTGACATTGAATAACGGGATTATAGGGTTTTTCTCTTGTATTTGGTTTGAGTGCTCGAGGTTGGCAAATTTTGTGTATTATTGGATTTTTGTTTTCTGTGAAATAAAGCAAAAAGAAAAAAAGGGCAACATTATTAAAAATGTAGCGTATTATAAAGTCCTAATTATGAGCACGATTTTCTGTTTGTGGCTACAGCATGAAATTATTTTTATTAATCTTATCAACTTTTTCCTGTAATTAATCGAAATTCTCTGAATAGTAACAGTTTGAATTATCAATTTATTAATATGTAGTTATTTATTTATGTTGGGAGAGACTGAGAGAGAATAATTGTTACAAGATATTTAAAAAAAGTGTTTATTATAAACCTTTATATCTACATAATTTATAACTAATTATAACGTAATTTATTCACTCAACATTGTTGTTGCACTTTTTCAGCGCCGACTTTTAGCTAAAACCATTGGACAAACTAAACCCAGTGATGTTTTTTGAATCATCAGCCGAGTCGAGTTCATCTAACAGAGTAGCCAAAAATTGTTTCTTCTTCGAAGTTAAATTTTGGTGGAGTTTCACAAATACAGTAAGGCAACTACGGCTGTGATACGTTTAATTAAATCACACATCACACCTGTAGTTCCTTAAATGCATTATATGAAATGAAGTCTTCAGAATGTTGCGTTGCCAACCACATATTTCTTTGGTGAATCTAGCTTTATGACTTATAAAGTTAATCATAAGTTAGATCACCAAAGAAATATAAAGTAGACGTATTTGTACGGGTGCACTAACCACTTTCTTGTGTTAATTTACTTTCGTATGTTTATATAGTTTCAAGGGCCATTCCTCCCACTACTGCTGTTATCGTGGTCATTATCAAAATTTTAATGTTTGGTCAAAGCAACCAAAGGTTTTTCTCGTACGTATTTTGCACAAAATTAAAAGTGTAAAGGTGTTTTATGCACCACGACTTTTTAGTAATGTATTTCGTGGTACTTTTGTCTTACTGAATCATTTGATATTTTTAATGGGACCGTTGAAGATTGTTGGTACTTGTTGATAATGTCGATATTTGGAATTACTATTTCTACCGAAATAAATATTTACTATTTAACTGATAAAGCCAGATATCTTCAAAGTACAATCAAAATCTGACTTATTAATACAAAATTGTAATTATTTATCAGTCGTCTTCTTGTTGAGTTAAACACAATTTTTAAACGATAACAAGACTTTCAAAATAAATAAATTAATTTTTTTTTGTATGTTTCTGAGAGACAACCGGAGCCATAAATATAATTAATTTCTCTTTCTGGGAAAATAATAACTAAATGACTGTTTTGAATAATCTCTAATCCTGAAGAGGCGTCTCACTGTGTTGCTAATTTTGAGATTTCTCTATAGAACCAAAACAGGATAAAACTTGTATTGACCTTACCAGAATGGCATTAGAAATTATTTTAAATCCTGATAAAACCGTTTTATTATCAAAATGCTGCAAAATTAATAGTCTACTTTATTGTACAAGCGGTAAATAACTAAATACGAGTATTAAAGAAAAATAGTTGTGATTTAGTTTTGAACTGGCTTTCAAAAACTCGGTTATTAACAACATCTTTAAAAATCAGAAATGCTAATAAGAATTATAAATGAATTTTTGTGGTTTGAGAAATAATTTTAGTTTCTTTAGTTTTTATAATATGTTGAATGAAATGTAAAAAAAATGTTCTTTAGGTTACAAAAAGGAAAAAATTAATAAATAATTCTGACAAAGCAAAATACAAGATATTTTCAGTATACAAATATTGAGTTATTTGAAATGTTTTATAATTACGGAAATATATTTGTCTTGTTATTAGAATAAAAGTATAGTTTTTCTTAACAAGCATTGAAAGATTTTTCGTAATTTCATTTTCAAACTTTCTATTAAAGTTTTCATAATCATTAGTTAAAATATCCTTTTTTTATCAAATTTTATAAATATTTTTAAAGCATATTTGGTTGAAAATTAGGGTTGGATTTTTCATTATTGTTGAGGTAGAATAGGTTTTCATTTACTTATTTAATTCTTTTACTTTCAATAAAACGTAAATACAAAATTCAGTTATAAACAATCTTGTTTTATCCTTAATCAAACTGCAAATTTAGTTTTACCATTCAAATGAATTGGCAATAAATTTGTAGTTGATTTGATACTTTTTTACTATTAAACTTTTTTATTAATAATACTGATTGTGATTACACAGGCCTGGAATTTTAAATTTCAGAATGTTTTTTTAAGGTTTCTCACTGACTCCTATGTATTTTTGGGCACTGATTTCAAAAAACAAAATTTTTCGCCAAGTAAATAATGGAAAATATGTAATTAAATTATAATCACTCATTGTTTGTGCTTTTTTTTCGAAAATCTGTTTTTATTTTTGTTATAAGCTAAAAGAATGCTTGGGGGTGCTTATTTTTTTCTGACTTTTCAAACTTATTCTTTTGTGCTTGGTTTTCTTCTTATTTATCTCAACTCGAAAAACTAGTTAGTACGTGATGGGATTTTTTTTATCTATTTTTCCGTTTTGAACGCCTAAAAAATGTATAGAAATTTTATTAGAATCAACCACAAGAAAAGTTTCTTTTTTACTTTTTAATTGCATAATATGAATTTTTCTAAAACATGTTCTGTTCCAAATTGAGTTTTTTGAATGTTATGAAAAACAGACACCATAAAATTATCAGATATTTAGCATAATCGTCTTGGACTTGAAAATATGGAACCAATAAACTTTCACATTTTCAAAATTGACAGAGATAATTAAAACCTCGTCAAGTCCCAACGTCAGAGATAATGACTTTCTAATGTAACTAAATATTTTGATGAAAATATTTTAATTTTTTTTCAGATCGGTTTCAAAGGCTTTGGCATCCCGGAAACCAAACTCAACACCGAAACCAAATTCATGTTCAATGGATCGCAATACACGCTTCGCCACGGCAGTGTGATAATCGCAGCAATAACCTCGTGCACAAACACAAGCAATCCCAGTGTGATGCTGGGGGCTGGTCTTTTGGCCAAAAACGCGGTGGCGGCAGGCCTCACCGTCGCTCCTTACATCAAAACGAGTCTTTCTCCCGGCTCCGGCGTCGTCACTTACTACCTTCAAGAATCCAAAGTCATCGATGCTTTAACCCAACTCGGGTTCGACATCGTGGGCTATGGATGTATGACATGTATTGGCAACAGTGGCGGTATCGACGAAAACATTGTCAATGCAATCGAGCAAAACGACTTGGTTTGTTGTGGCGTTCTTTCCGGGAATAGAAACTTCGAAGGTCGGATTCACCCAAACACGCGAGCGAATTATTTAGCGAGTCCTTTACTAGTCATAGCCTATGCGATTGCCGGCACTGTTGATATAGATTTTGAAAAAGAACCCTTGGGGAAACGTGCGGACGGTTCACCGGTATTTTTGCGTGAAATTTGGCCGACAAGGAAGGAAATTCATGCAGTGGAACAGCAATATGTCATCCCTGCGATGTTCCAACAAGTCTATTCGCGTATTCAGTTGGGCTCGTCAAGTTGGCAATCATTAAATGCCCCTTCTGGGATTTTATACCCCTGGTCCGACAGCTCCACTTACATTAAAAAACCGCCGTTTTTCGACGGAATGTCCAAGCAATTGCCCCCAATGCAACCCATTTCGGGGGCCCGAGTCTTGCTCTATTTGGGCGATTCGGTCACCACCGACCACATAAGTCCCGCCGGTTCCATTGGACGAAACAGTCCAGCTGCACGATATTTGGCCCAAAATGGCTTAACACCGCGCGAATTTAATTCCTATGGGTCACGAAGAGGCAATGATGCCATCATGGCAAGAGGCACTTTCGCCAATATCCGACTCGTTAACAAGTTTATGAGTAATGCAGGACCGAAAACCGTGTATTTGCCCACAAATGAAGAGGTAAATTTGTAGTTTGAGGTGATGAGATTTTAAGTTGTTTTGCAGATGGATGTTTTTGATTGTGCCGAGAGGTACAAGGCGGCCAAGACACCCCTGATTATATTAGCTGGAAAGGATTATGGGTCGGGGTCCAGCAGGGATTGGGCCGCCAAGGGGCCCTACTTATTGGTATGTTGGTGAAAACAAGCAATTTTACCTAAAAGGTCACAAATAACTTGTGGCTTAATGTGGGTTTTATGATTTTCGGAGAAATGATTTTCTTGAAATCTTCAGGTGTCGTTATTTTAATGATGTTTGGCTAGTTGTAAAATAATAATTTGTCTGGTAATTGTGGACAATATAAGCTTTTCAGGCGTCAATTTTAATTGAACTAATTTTTTTTTTAAGAAATTGATTGGTGATGAGTCCAGTGTTAGCCGTTTATTGAAAGCAAAAAAATGTAATTATCGAAACAGTACAAAAAAAATGTAAATAAGAATTACTTTTATTTATTTTCTCAAATAAAAAGTTAAGTTAGTTTGCAGAAATATTAATATTTACAATTTTCTTTTATCAAATATCAAACGAATGATTTTCAGATTTTCTAAAATAATAATCGGTGTAATTTCCACTAAAAAAATATTTAATCTTTATTGTTTTTATCTACAAAGTGAATATTTTTTAATGCCGTTGCGCCAATAATTTATGTTTAATTTTATTGTAACATTTAAAAACAATGTTCGGAGAAAAAAATATTTATAAATGATAGTTGATAACTTGTGCCACACGGTACATATTAATCCAACTTTTTCTGTAACAAAGTTTTAGAAATTATCGTGTAAATAACCGTGATTTTGTAAAATAAACTTTCATGATTTTCTTTCCAACAGGGAAAGAATAAAATATATCAAGTTGGGAGAAAAGTTTTCTGTGACCTCGGCTGCATTTGGTCACCTTGGACAGTAGAATACCTCCATTCTCGAGATTTAAATAATATGTTTATTCCCTTGATACATAAATAACTATAAATTATATCAATATAAATATAAAACAAAAGCCAAAATCTGATATGCTAGGATTATAGCATTTTTTTCTCACTGAAAGATTCTTGAATTTGTTTGTTTGTATTGTTTTGAGTGACATGTTTAAATTTAAACAAAATGCAAAACTAAAATTGTACCGAATCGTTTTCGATGTTTATAATTTTATTTATTATTATTTGAAGCAAAATATTTTGTACTAAATGTAACAAAATTTTATGAAGGTTTTTTGCAATTTTGATTCATGCTGACGTTATTTTTATTTTGAAGTCTAGATGGTAAAATCATAATTTACCTCAAAATTGTGAATAGTGAAAATTTTACAGACATCAGTTTTACTTGAATTCAGATTTGTAAAGTTTCCAATGTCATTTATGAAAAAGCAACTAAATTAAATTATCGAAGCAGTACATAAAATAAAAAGTTAATATAGGTTTCTTCGCAAAGATATTACTTCTAATACAGAATTTTTATTTTGAATATATCAAACAGAATGACGTTGCAACTTGTTTAAAATAATTGGCGTAATTTCCATTCGAAAAAAAAAATTGTTACGTGATTGTTTGCAATTTTTAAGTCCTCAAAGAAAATTCTAGGTTTTTTTTTTGTTTTCCAGGGAGTTCGTGCTGTAATTGCTGAATCATTCGAACGTATTCATCGCTCAAATTTGGTAGGCATGGGAATTATTCCTTTCCAATTCTTGCCCAACGAGACGGCTGAAACTCTCGGCTTGACAGGAAAAGAAGTTTACAATATTGAACTTCCAGCCGATTTAAAACCGGGGCAAAACATCAAAATTTCAACAGATACGGGCAAAACATTCAATGTTGTTTTGCGATTCGACACTGAAGTTGATTTATTGTTCTATAGACACGGAGGTATCTTGAATTACATGATCAGAAAAATCGTAGCGTAATAATGTGGTAATTGAGCATCAACTAGGGTTATGGTAAATAATGTTTTTCAATAAATTGGAACTATTTTATTTTATTACTTATTAATCTAGTACAAAAATATTGTTGAAACGGTAAACTCAGTTTTATTGTTGAGGGTTTATTTTTTGTGTGGGCTTCTTTACTTAGTTGTTATATATTTTTAACAATGTTATACTTTTATATAAATGGATAATAATTAATAATAAACCATCACTTTTACAACAATACTGTATTAAAATAGCTCATTTACAAACAACCTTAAAAACACTGGGACAATAGTGGTAAATAATTTACAAAAAATTTAAGCATTGTAAGATGATGATGAGACATTCCCACCATGACCTGTCCAGTTGGTGTGCACAAATTTACCCTCTTGACCTAATAATTCATAAGTGTGAGCCCCGAAATAATCCCGTTGGGCTTGTAACAAATTTGCAGGCAGACGTTCAGAACGATAACCATCATAGAACGCCAAGGCCGTACTAAGTGCCGGGGTTGGCACTCCTGAAACCGTTTTTGTAAAATTTTACCCCAAAACAGCACAAAATGTACCTAATTTAATTGCCGTTGAGACAACATTCCTCCAAGCATTTTGCGACCTTGTAATCGCATTTAGGAAGAAAGGAGCTAAAAGCAACGACCGCAAACTCGGATCTTTATCAAATGCGAGTTTGATCTGTCCCAAGAACACCGATCTGATGATGCAGCCCCCTCGCCACATGAGGGCAATCGAACCGTAGTCGAGATCCCAATTGTGGACTCCTGCAGCTTCACGCAATAACATGAAACCTTGGGCGTAGGACACAATTTTGCTCGCGTACAACGCCTGAAAAAGGAAATTAAATTCAGCTAATTAGATTTGATAGGCACCTGGCGCAGTTCCTCCAGGAATTGGTCGACGTTTCCGGTGAATTTGGCGGTAGGGCCTGGGAGGACTTTGCTGGCTGTGATTCTCTCGTTTTTCAGGGCTGATAAGCACCGGCTGAAAACTGCTTCGCCGATTAGGGTCACAGGCATGCCGTAGTTTAGCGCCGCGATGGCCGTCCATTTGCCGGTGCCTTTTTGGCCGGCCGTGTCCCGGATTTTTGGGAGCAGATATTTGCCTGAAAATGAGGAATTTTAAATAATTAACGTAATTCAATGATCTTTTACTGAGATTTTTTTTTTAATTGTTAATAATAAGATTTTGATTCTATGGTTTCAATTCGGGTGTCCCAAGCAAAAACGCAATAGGTAACCAACATTTTTCATCCTTACATTAATTAGTAATTATTTGTTTAAAATTAATAAACAAAATTGTTTTATCAAAAATAGTAACTACAGCGCAAAAGTCCTTTTGCCAATGTAAACCACAGAAAGTATCTACAAATACCTCAGAAACGGTCGATTGTACTCCATTTTTTAAGTAAAAATTATTCAAATAATTTTGAAAAACTATACAGGGTGAATATAAAATATGGAACCAAGCGTTTTTTGAAAATCATTTGTCTCCAGAAAATAGTGATTAATATAAATTAAAGTAATATAAAAAAATGTGATCGTATTTTGAGAACGAAATTTTGTTTTGTTTTTGAGTTATGCGGTTTTTTTTTTTAAATGCAATTTATTCTTTAAAATAACTAAGCAGGGCTGAACTCCAAAAAATTTAAAATTAAAACGAGAATTTTTTATGTTTTACATAACAATTAAACAAGAACTCTTAATCGAACATTTAGTTAGTTTATATCTGCCACATCTCTGTTCAGAATGGTCGTTTTCTTTTAGATTTGAAAGAGTTGAAGGTAAGAAACTTGCTTTCCAAATTGTAAAAAAAATATAATTTACCATCGTAGGAACATGTTTCGGCAGTTAACTGCCACCATCAGTATAAATCACATTAAAAAATTATCACAAAATTATTTGAAACAAGGAATAGATTTAACTCGTAATTCCTAATTAATTGCTAAAGTAAAACGGGAAGGGCGGTGAAGCCGACATCTTCCCAAAATGATTTTTGTTCTTTATGTGAAAATGTCCAAAATTTCTGTTAAAGAATGCTTTCCTGTTAAAGAAACAGAGGCGAATATTTGACAGATATTGAATTCCATGTTCGTACTTTATTTTGAAATAAAAATATAATCTTTAATAAAAAAACGAGTTTTTTTTTTAATTAAAATTACACCTCCCCTTAGGACACCCTTTATCTACTATTATTATTTAATTGCTTTTGTACTCAAAACTGCTTGAAATTGTATTTACTTTATTTTAATTTTAGAGTAATATTTGTAAAAAATTAAACTAATGAAAAATACAGTGTCTGAGACTATAAATTTTTCATTATGTTTTAAAGACTTTTACACCCACGTCTTAAATTGCCTTTAAAAAACAATATTAAATGATGTTTAAATAAGTCATTTTTGGGTCCAGTAACATTAATTAAAAAGCAGAACTGTGTTTTATCTTGGGACAGCCGAACTGCGATATTGTTGGTTGCATACGCAAGCGAATCTACTTCACTTTTAAAAGAATTTTTTAATCATAATTTTTATAATGAGACTTGGAAAATGGTTGCCAAACATTCGCAACGCCCACAAAACCAATAAATTATCATTTCGATCAAAACCGTTGCAAAAAGTTTCGCCCATGACTAACCATCCTTATCCTTAAAACCCATGATATCCTTGGTGATATCGATCAGAAAACTGTCCAATTCGCCCTTGTTCCACTCGGCAAACGTCTTCGCCATCTTCCCCTGGTCAATCCCAATGGCTTGCATCATGTGGTACACCTCCCCGATCAGCTGCATGTCCCCATACTCGATCCCATTGTGCACCATCTTAACGAAATGCCCAGCCCCATCATTCCCAACCCAATCGCAACACGGCTGCCCGTCGGTCTTCGCCGCGACACCCTGGAAAATATCCTTGATGTACGGCCAGGCCTCCTTGTTGCCCCCCGGCATGAGACTCGGTCCGTAGCGGGCGCCGTCCTCGCCCCCCGAGACGCCGGCCCCCACGAATCTGATCCCCTTGGCGCGCAAATCCTTGCAGCGGCGCTCAGAGTCCTGGTATTCGGAGTTGCCGCCGTCGATGATGATGTCACCCTTTTGGAGGTGGGGCACCAGCTGGTCGATGAAGCTGTCGACGGCGTCGCCGGCTTTAACAAGCATCATGACTCGTCGTGGGGTTTTTAGTTTGGAGACCAAGTCAGGGATGGACTCAGCACCGATGATGCTTTTGCCCTTGGCTTCGTTGGCCAGGAAAGCGTGGACTTTTTCCACCGAACGGTTGAAGGCGACGACAGTGAAGCCGTGATCAGCCATGTTGAGGATGAGGTTTTGCCCCATGACGGCCAAGCCGATCAAACCGATGTCCCCTTTGCTGAAATTGGGAGTTTTTCATTGTCAGTGAAGTGATTGAGAAAAGGTGAACCTGACCTTCGGGGCAAGTGCCCCACTTTTACTTCACCTCATAAATTTTTTATAATAAAAGACAAAATTGTAGGTTATATTTGATTTACAGTAATTTTAATTGTCTTTTTTTGAAATTCATGGTGAGATCACACCATAATCAAAGCTCCCCTTTCCCTCCACCAATCATGATGCAGCAAAAAAAGTTGGACCAATGAGAGTGTCGTACCGCAAATTATCCAAAAATCGTTTAAAAAAATTTTGATTTTTCAAAAAATTACTAATTACTAAAAACCATACCCTTGTGCCATCGCAAGTTTTTTACGCTGCTCCTCAGTAGAAAAACACTAACTGACTGCGTGAAGTGCACTTACGAATGTGTGCACGTAAACTGATAGAAACTGCGGTTATAAGCTAAAAACCGCTTTAACTTTGGTTAATTATTGAATCTAGTCGAATCATAATAATCATACTGGTGCCCCTCTATCGTGGAAAGTCACATTGAAATGTATACATTGAAGGTCAATGATAAAATATACTTGGATGGGACTGATAAATTGATAATGAAACATGATTTAGGTGTGTTTTATTTTCGGCAACTTGCATTTCACTCGATTTGTTCGTTGGGTTTCTTGGTCAAGGACATACTCAACGTCCTTGAATTTATGGGAACAAAAAAACACAATTCCTCAATCCATGATGCATACACAAAAAAATAATCATTAGAAATAAAATAAAATTTCTTTCCCTAAAAAAAATATTTTCGGGAATTTGAAACACAAAGAAATGAGAATTTTATTTTGCACCATAACAAAAAAATATGTTTGGAATTGTATTTTATGAAATTAATTCAAAAAAATATTATTATTCCCACCCAAAATTATTATACTTAGAGTGGTATACAACAATAAAGTGCTTGACATCGAAATTCCTAATAATATCTTTACAAGTTTCTACATCTTTGATAACAAAAAAAAAAAAAACACAAAACAAATTCGTTTTTTTTACATCAAGGCGGAAGTGGTGACGATATGTTGCTATATTATTATTTACAATGTGCATTGCATAACATGCGCTTTAAGTGCAGTAACAAAACTCATAATAAAAAGTAGAAATTCTTTTACAAGAATATTCTTTTCTTTATATTCTTTCACAAAATCCTTTTAAAAATCCTTAAATTTTTTTGAAACTGTTTTCTGTTTAATGAAAAAACTTTTAATGCATATTGTGTAAAAATGAAATGTGACCATGAATCGTTGCATCAAACGGTGCAAGAGAGAAGCGACTTCAATGTTTTTTATTGCGTAGTTTATTTACGACAATGCAATTACCAGATAGGCTTCCCGTATGACGGTAATTGGCCATTTATGATGTTTTTCTTAGAGCTAAAAATAATATTTAATTATTTCATGTAAATGTATTTATCTTCAAAAATTAAATCACATTCTGCTCTGGTAGAATTAATTATTTTTTTACCTGTATTTTAGTGTTTCAACTTAAATAAGAATTTTTTTACCTGTAACATTGTTTATGAATTATTTATCTTAATTTTATCTTAAATAATAAAATGTATATAGACGTTTCCTAATTTGGAAAAGCAATTTTTTTATATAAAAAGTTGTGTGGAACGAATTCAGGTTTATGAAACGAGCAGCGAAGTGCGAGTTTTAGAAAGAACGAGTTCCCACAAATGACTTATGAAACAAGTTTTTTATGCTATTTTTTTGTTTTGCGCGTTTTACGTACTTTTTTTCACATAAAAGTCATTTTTTCAAAATTTAGGAACTTTTGCTCCAATAAGGTTGTGGTTGTTAATACATGTTACAAAGTTTGAAAGTTCAATTTTCGCAGTGTCAAGTCTTAAGTGTTTTTCAAAATTTTGTTGAATTAACCATGAATACTGCAAATTATTTCACGCACATCACCTAAAAAAAGAGAAATCGCTCAAAACGCGGATGAAAATCACCATTACCAACCTCTAGAAAATAAATTGTACTAGTCTATTTTAACACCCAAATTGTTGTTGGAATGGCTCATTAAAGCATCGGTTTTGGTATCGAAATAAGCTTTTTTTCAGACGCAAAATAAAAAAAATCACTTTTCTTTCTTTTGTTGTTGCAAAAAATGAATTTCCTTGACTTTAAATTCTATTTTTATACAAGGAGTAGCTATTTATTATGAACTATTTGTTATTTTGTTCCCAAAAAATGCAAATTTGGATTTGGATGCATTTGAAACGGGATTTAAAACTTAACATTGAATTTTAAAATAAAAGCCATATCGTTATAAATGCATTGTGTGGGTAATAACTCGTAATAATTTAATTTAACACTGATTTTTCTTTGAATTTCCATAAATTCGGTAGTTGCGCATTTCTGCAATCCGGACTTTTGGGACCAAGATTCACTGTCACCTTGATACTAGATAATTGGAGGTTATGTAATTTTAACCTCAAAAATTTCTCAGTTCCCTTACATGTTTATCTATTGAAAATAATATTTACATCATTATGACAACAAAAAGTCCACTAATTTTCACAATCATTGCCGAATGCCACACTTCAAAAGCTCGCGTAAGCCGTATGGTATTACCTCATGGTCCTGTCGACATGCCGGTTTTCATGCCTGTTGGGACTCAGGTAGAATTATGAGTAATTGCAAATACAAAATAGTAATTATTCCGTAGGGAACTTTGAAAGGAATGTTACCGGAACAGCTCGAAGAGCTTGGTCTCCAAATCATGCTTGCCAATACTTATCATTTAGGAACAAAACCTGTATGACATTTATGAAAAATATAATTTTTCCTAAGGTTAAACTAGCCGTATTCTAGGGTGTCGAAATTCTGGAAAAAGCCGGAGGCTTGCACAAGTTTATGAACTGGAATAATTGTCTTTTGACGGATTCTGGGGGCTTCCAGATGGTCTCATTATTAAAATTAGCTGAAATCACAGAGGAGGGTGTACGTTTTCAGTCTCTGAATGACCAAAAAGCTGAAGTCATGTTAACACCGGAACATTCCATTGAGATTCAAAATGCAATTGGTGCAGATATCGTAATGCAACTCGACGATGTCGTCAGGACTACAAATCCTGATAAGAAGAGAATTGAGGAATCTGTGCACAGGTTTTTTAAAGTTTGAGGTTTCATGATACTAATTATATGATTTGTAGAACGACAAGATGGCTTGATAGGTGTTTGCAAGCTCATAAAAAACCAGACAGTCAAAGCATTTTTCCAATAGTTCAAGGAACCCTCTATGAGGATTTACGGGAGATAAGTGCCAAAGATCACATCAAAAGAAACGTCAATGGATATGCGATTGGTGGTCTGAGGTATTTATCAACAGTACATTTTATCAAGTCACCAAATCTAATTACAGTGGAGGGGAAAGTAAAGACGATTTTTGGAAGATGGTCCACTTATGTACCAATATTTTACCAAAAGACAAACCCCGTTACTTGATGGGTGTCGGATTTGCCGAGGATTTAGTCATTTGTTGTGCTTTAGGTTGCGACATGTTTGACTGTGTTTTTCCAACAAGAACAGCGGTAAATTATCCAAATTAATTAATTTCTTGTCTTATCTCCAAATTTTAGAGATTTGGGTGTGCGTTAACAAGAACAGGACAGCTCAATTTAAAGAAGGAAAAATTCAAAAAAGACTTCAAACCTATAGACGAAAACTGTCCCTGTAATACATGCAAAAATTACACCAGAGCTTATCTGAATGGTATTGTGACTGTGCACCCATCAGCTTGCCATTTAATCACCGAACATAATCTAGTCTTTCAAATGACTTTAATGAAAGATATAAGGGAGAGTATCAAAAAGGATAAATTTCCAGAATTTGTGCGCAAATTCATGTTGGATTTGTATCCAAATAAGGAGTACCCTACTTGGGTTAGAGACTCTTTAAGTGCTGTCAATATAAGCCTAACTTTATAAGTATTATTTTTTTATTTTATACAATAAATAGAAAAAAAGAACGGGAAATATCTTATTTACATGGAGTGTTACCAGTTTACATAAAGTCGTCAGAATCGTTCCCATCATCATACTTGGACATATTTTCAGTACTCATCAAAGAATTGTAGCTTTTTAATTCTGCCTCTTCCTTTTTCCGTTTTTCGTCCTCTTTTTCTCTTTCTTTCTGCTCCCTTAATACCTTCTTTTTGTCCTCCCTTTCTAGTCTGTCTCTCTTTTCTCTTTCAGCTCTAAAATCTACCAAGAAATTAAAACATCGGTGAAAATTAAACCAGTACCTGGGTGTTCCTCTCTTTTCGTTTTATTCAGTCTGTTGACAATTTCATTGACTCTTTTTGCTACTTTAATTTTTCTCACTTCCTTTTCTTTATGGAAACCAACTTGACCCACTTCCATGGCAGGCGTCTTTTTCAAGTTATTCCACATGGTGTAAACAACTTCAATATCGTTCATTTTGTTTCCCATTATACTGTTGGCTTTTACTAGTTGAGCAGCGTCTTCCAAAACTGAAGAGGGAATATCATCAATTGTCTGACCCTAAAATGCAATTATTTATCCACTTTTAAGAGAGATAAGACGTGATTTACAGGTCGTAGTCTTAGGTAAACGTGTGCTGAAGACACTTTATCAACATGGAACCACACGTCTTCAGGCCAACCCCATTTTATCAAGTCTTCATCTGCAAATTCACAATGAAATACAACAAAATTTTTGATGAAATTCTCACTTTCATATTTGTCAAGTCCCATAAATAGTAGGGCTGGAGGTGAAACTACGCTGCTTTCAAAATAAAACACCATTTTATCATTAGAAATGAAGAAGAAATGCAAAAAACAAAATTCGTATTTGTTAGGTTAGAGTGATTGAATCGTAACCTCACTTTTTCATTGGTTGTGCTATTTTTACAACTAACAATACGCTAGTGTATTGTTAGTTGCAGCGTATCTGCAAAAGTTTTTTTTATTGTTCACTATTTTGAAAGTGGTTATTTTTCCATTGAAAAGTGCTAATTAGAGCAAAAAATAATGTCATTTTATGTACCACTTTCCAGTAAATGAAGATGTGTTGTTTTTTACTCCTGTATGTAATTATACACCTTCTTAAAGTGTTTATGAGGAATTTGTTTAAATGAGAAAATGCTGTTTATCGCTCTACAGATGCTCTCGTGTTCTTAATTAGTGACCAAAAAAGTATTTAGGAAAGAAAAGGTGTCCCAAACACACATGCAAAAGTCTAGTTATTCTTTTATTTTCTCAATTGAATGCAAATATTTGTGTTTGTTTTTATTCCTAGCATTTTTAATAATTTAGCAAGTAAGTGGGGCTTCCATCAGCTAACATTATCTAATTCCAAACAAAAGGTAACATTTTTCTCGCACTTTCTATTTCTCTAATAGAATTATTATTGAAATAATAACCGCAACCAAATGTATTTTTTCTATTATGTGTGTTATCTTTTAGTTAATCCTCTTATGTTTCATCAATATAATCATACTTTGAATTAGAAAGGTGTAACAATCTTTTGTGGTATTTTTTCAGGTCAAATCGTTCTTACATTTTTCTTCGATCTTGTCTAGCATCAATGTTGCATTTAAAATTTTATAGAGCAATAATTTTTTATTTATAAACTAATTGAATATTCAAGCCATTCAAGCATATATATCGTCTTTGATTATTTTAAATAATGACTAACGTAAAAACAGTTCTAAGTATTCAAGTGAAGGGCAAAACAAGTGAATCTTCCTTTTAAGAACTGAAAGTTATTGCTCCGATTTTTTAACGATCAGTAGATCAAGGTTACAAAGAAGAGCAGATCAATTTATAAGGCACTTTATCGTCTCAAATTTACGGTTACGGTTTGTAAAACTATCCTGTTTCTTCGAACAGTGAAAAATAATGTAAATGTAATCAATTAAATAGACGTGTCCGGTTATTAGATATTTTTTATTACTGCTTTGTTTAAATACAAACATAATTTATGGTAATTGACACTGTTAATAGGACTTATGATCTAATGAAAAATGATGGTAATTGTTTTGTTAATTTTACACAAGAATTTTAATCAGTCTAAATAAAAATGCAGAAACACAAAATATTAGCATTTTCATTAAATTATTTATTAGTAGATCTACTATAAACAAAAATAAAACCAAAAAATTGTTTAAAGAAAAAAAGTGTGCTTATTTCGACTCCCCATTATTTTTTTATGCTCAATTTTTTATCGACATTTACTAATGAAACGTTTATTATATTCACAATTACTTTTAGTTCTTCAGCATCAACTATTGAATGAACTATTGATAGATTTATGAGTGCGTCATGATTTATAAATGGGTTTTTGTTTTTTAAATACCAAAAATCGATTCGATTACTTAATAACAGTTTTTTTCAATTTTATCATATTTATTTTATAACCACAGAAAAGGTAAAGTTTTTAACTTTATCCATTTCAAAATTTCCATTCTCTTTATGATAGTAATCAATCATTTGTGACATAATTTTTCTTGATCTTGCATGCTTCAAGAAGACATCCTGAAACGCTTCACTTGCTCCAACCTCTCATCAGTGTAATAACAGGAATAAAAGCATGAAATTTATCAATTACGTGAACACTATCTTTCATACTGTGTTACTTTACGCCATTTCGAGTAGAAAGGACAAACATTTTTGCATCGTTTACATGGTCATTTATTCAAATCAGTTAGATAATGTACTTGATGAAGTCACGAAAATAGCTTTAAACAAATTAATGATTGTTACATCTGACATCGATTAAAAGTGCAATAAATTAAAATCGTTATTATTGTTAAAATTTTACAATTTGAATGTTCCATAAAATATTAAATACCAGTAGCTTCGCGATTCAATGACCCAATAATTTTTTATCAGTGATTGCATAAACTAATTAATGCATCATTTAGGCGTAATGATGTAATTGTTAATAATAAATTGCTGGACACATACTACGTAACTTTCTATTTGTATCATCGCATAAGAAGCGACTCTCATAGAGACATTATTACTGAAATTAAAAAAAGAAAAGTAAATAATTAGAGATAATAAAATTTTGGTTTTCTTGTTGTGACATAAGAAGCTGCAAGTGCTAATCACAGTCGAATTAAATCAATTATTTTATTAAGAGTAGTAATTACGGTATTTGTATGTGGGCAAACGTATGATTTCAATATTTATTCAGTTGAGAGAAGAAAAATAAGAACACTCCAACACGGAACTGCAAGTAAACGTGTAATTTCTAGCAATGGGGGGAACAATGACCTTTTCTAAATTACTCCATAATTTCCATTATGTAATTCTCTACCACATATCAGAAAAAAAATCATTGTAATCATAATGGCGCTTCTGACAGCTCCCCATTTAAATTGAAGAAAGTAATTAAAATGGTGAGAACTTTTACGAAATGTGCAAAGTTTTCTCCCAAAAACTATTTTTCCTGTATTGCCCAATTTACAATGTTTGAGATAAATTATCCGGACAATACTTTAGCTACAATTAATTATACGTAAGGATGCGTAGAGGTGAGGAAAGACTTTGCATCACTCTTCTTGCGTGAATTTAAAGCACGTGATTGTTGTTTCGTAAAGAAGGGAATAATTTAATGCTGTTTTCCACAAGATTTTAACACAAAGTGTTTCGAGTCGTTGATGACTGGCATGATAAATTGCATTGCGGTGGATGTTGTTAGGTGGCTTTTTGTTACAAAATGCTGGAAGGAAGATAAGTTAATTAACATAACTGAGCAATGCATGAATATCACTGACGTTCTACAACTTTCGTTTATATTGTTGGATTATTATAAGGTTCACAGAATTATTCGGTTAAGATTTATGATCTAACTTGATTTAATAATCGCACAATGAATAGAGATTTGAAATACAAATTCTAATTTCCCCGGAAAAAAAAAATCAGAAACTAGAAGGAACAATTTACGAATTTACAACTTGGGAAAATAAACTAGGTCTTAAAATAAAAGTTTATTAATAATTTCACAAATTTGTTACACATTATAAAATAAAAATGCATTCATGTTAATGGAAAATTTTTAATATACAGGGCAGTTTTAGAACTCGCGCCCCAGAGAAAAATGCCATGTAAGGTAAGATACCAGGAACATAGAAAAAATGTTAAAAAAATTCTATCTCTGAAAATTTCGAAATTATGGGATTTAAATTTTGCACTTTGACTTTATTTCTGTTTAAAAAATAATTTTCCACGTTTTTTTTCGGCAGGCTATTAGGGATGTTGTACCCTAAATTGTAACTCTGTTTAATGTTATTTATAGCTTTTATTGACAAAATTTTTGTATGTTTACCTAATAATTATAAAAAAAAAACATATACAAAATCATCAGTAACACTAAATGTCAAATGCAGAAAAAGATTACTTAAAAAAAATCAAAAAACTTACTTTAAAAAATTACTTCAATATTCACTCATTCTCGTCTGAGTGAAATTTCAAAATTAGTGTTAAGAAATAATGTATTCAGAGGTTAAACTTTTTAAACTTGTTTGTAAGTGTTAAAAAATAAATTCAACTTTACGACATTTTGTTTCTTTTATTAATTTTGTTGATTTCTGGGCATTAAGTTTTTTATATCATTTTTAATTCTTTTATTTTAAATTAATTTATTTTTGGCGTTTGAGAACCTACAAATTTAAATAACTAAATCAAAAAGTTATAAAAGAAGTATTATTATTATTGAGGATTTTTTTCATTCAACACGAGTGTGTAAATATTTGTCTAATCTATTGTAATTGGCCTATTTAGATACAGTAGGTAAGTACAAGTGTAGAAAGTTTGTCCAAATTTCAGAACATGTTATCCATTTTACTGTGTAGGAAATTTTTAATTGAGAGTTTGTTTAGCTTCAGAGCCTTTCCTTCATACCTCCTTCCATATATATTTTTAAAAAATAAATAAATTTAATGTTTTCATTATATTTTTATAAATTGTGAAATCGTTAGTAACAAAAATATCTCCCGTGTTAAAAATCGTTGGAACTCCGCGTGAATATTCAGTAATCCCAAACAATTTGTCTCGCATATTAATTGACCCGGGACGAAACTATCCGTCAAATATTGCAACTTTTACTTTACCTTCTTGGAAAGTAACAAGTGTAAACAAAACTGTATGCAGACCATATTTTAATAACAAAGTGTTTCGAATTTTAAACTGTCGTTTCCGGTTTTTACTTAATACGTTTCCAACTCGTAAAATGAAGGAAAATTATGTGTAGGCATTTTTCTCTCTATAGATTTTTAAACGGGACCGGAAATTGTTACTGTCAAATTGTCCTATTGTTGACAAACTCTCCCCTTCCTAGGTGCGGCTCAACATGAAAATATAGACACTGACCTATCAAATAAGTTTTATTACCCAGAGATGAGATGTAATCTCTAAAATTGCTTATGAAAGTTTTCACAGACTGACTGCATTCGGATAACAATAATAATATCAGACGTGATGATTGACTGCTCGAAAGTTAATTAATATTTTACTTATTTATTGCTTACTAAAAATGCAGGAAAACTTGTTTTGTTGTAGTTAACAATGCGATTTAAAAATAAGACTTTGAATTTGTTACGTAGATAACTATGATTATTTTCCAATATTTGATTTGTTGCGGTAACTGGTCATAAATTACGTGTTACTGGATATGAAACGTATCATAATCTTTGTCATAAAGTCAACAATAGTCGATTCTTCCTGAGGAAAACTCGCCTCGGGAATATAAAGAATGAATAATAAAACCTGTTCCTGCATTTACAAAATAGTCACCGGTCACCAATAATAACAAGGAAACCTTTTAGTGCAAATTTATGATCTATTGTGCATAATAAAACTAGTGAAACTAA